AGATTGCAAACCTGACTGGCTGATAGAATTCAGTCTGCACCAAAAAAGGACTAGACACATCACACTAAGCACTAGTGTCCAATGAAAATACCCACTACAGTCCTACAGTAGGTCAATCGCGAGCTTGAACAGCTCAGTGGTAACGTCTCTGACTGCAGCACTGGGTGATGCGGGTCTTAGAGTTAGATGATTATGTGTTAACTGATGACACATTTCTGCACAGAGAACAGTTACACCCAAAAGTGTACCAGAAGCTCTCCTTGATTTCTACACTGGATGACACAGATATGACCATCTGTGTGACCAAGCTTTACAGAAAGATGCGACAGTTTACGTCACCAAACTTCACAAAAGCACGCATAAACCTTAAAAAAACAAAAGTAGAAACAAGCGGAAGAATCAGAATTTAAAGAATCTCGTGAATGCTTATGGGCTACTGAAAATGACTTTGAGCCATTTCAGAGATATTATCCACCAGTCATATTTTAACGCCAGGCAGTCTACATGGCTCAAACTATTAGCCAAAGACTTCAAGAAGTGATAGTAGGTAGTGAATTGACTATCTCTAACTAGTTTTTAACCGAACGCTATATCAGCTAACATCTCTCGAAGAGGAATGCTGTAACATAGAATGTCACCTGTACCATAATGAATGCGACCAAGCCATAGTGGAACTTCTAGTCTCTTTGTTGTCAACATTTGGAAATGACGTCTAATCATATGTGAAAAGTAACTCAAAATAAAATAAAGCCTAACTTTATGATATTAGATAGTTGGTGGCAGTCGGCCACAGGAAGCCTTGGACCTAGGTTTCGTGCTAGTCAGCACTTATCAGCAAGGCTTATCTGCAACCTTGAAGGAACTAATGTCCTTTCTGAGATTCGAACCCGCGTCACCAGCCAGTGCTGCAGTCAGAGACTTTACTACTGAGCTATTCAGGCTCGCAATTGACCTCCTGTAGGACTGTAGTGCGTATTTTGATTAGACACGAGTAACTAGTGTGACGTGTCTAGTCCCTTCTTTGGTGCAGATTGAATTCTGTCAGCCAGTCAGGTTTGCAATCTGGCCTCCATTCTAGGTAGCTCGCCATCACGATGCACGTTGATTTGATGATATTATATATTTGGAGGCAATCGTCAGGAAGCGGTGACGCGCGTTCCAATCGCAGAAGGATCACGAGTTTCCTCAAGGCTACAGATACACCTTGCTGACGAGTGCCAACTAGTACGAAACCTAGGTGCATGGCTTCTTTTGGTCGATCGCCTCCAACTATTTAATATCAACAAAAAACCTTTAATATAATGAAGTTTCGATGGATTTAAATTGAAGGGTTCTGTGGTTACCGACGGGAGTAATAAGTTAGCAGTAATCTTTTTTTGAACAAATAACTGAAGCTTCATTCTTCGTGTTGTGATAGCTTCAGTAATTCAAAGTAATCTTAAGGTACTTTGTCTGTCCACCTTTATATTCTAGAACATTCCCATCCCTAGAGTATAAGAATATCTGCATTTTAGATCATAATTTTATTATTCCTGTATAATTGATATACTATCTCCGTTTTCAACATCTCACTCTACTGTCTGTTCAGTTAAAATATTTGCAATTTTATTGATTTGACCCTTGATCGGGAATAGCTCTGTGGCTTTTTCACTCATTCACTATAAATACACGAATGTTTTTTACCTTCCCAGTTGATGACTTCGTCGAAAAGAAAATTTTCTTTACTGGAATCGTCATGATGGTTGGTTACGTATTTTATTTTCAAGACTGTACGATGATGACGTAATAAGCATGTAACAACAGAAGACAAGGGCCAGGCAACAGATCGTTTTATTATGAAAATCAACACGTATTTATATATATTTCACATACATTATTACAGCTTATGCAAGTAGACAAGCGCAGTCATCTGATTGGTTGTTTATCAGAAGTTAAGCAGACAAACGCAGGCTTCCGATTGGTTGTTTTGGGACTCCTTGACAAATAGAGTTCTCTATCTGCGAATCATATTTTGCCACGTTAACCTTGCTGTGATTGGTTGTTGAATCAGCCTTGCTCATATTTTCTCACGGCCTGCTCTCACCACAAGCATAACACGAATTCATCTTATCGCCTACAAAAATTATTCTCATTCTCTGTTGTTGAATAACTGTCGCACAAAACATTCATTAGGAAGGTCAAAAAATCTCATAAGAAAATGAAAAACACTTCTGAAACTACTGACCATGATATAAATAAGAAAGAAATTAGAGCATCTGCAATTTTTTCCCATATAAAGAAAAGACATCTGAAATCCTTGCTAAATTGAGTGCTTAATAGAACAAGAACTACAGTGACATTTAAGCCTACAAACTCTATGGTGTTTGTGACTGCCTATTGTGACCCAAAATACCTTGTAATAAGTGTGAGGCACAACGGTTAGGACTCTCGTCGACCATGCAAGTGGTTAGGAGTTCGACTCCCTGCCGACGCATGCTTAATATCTATGATCGACCTGCAAAATTTGGGCTATCGATATCACATGCTGAAAATTCCATACTTGTACCAAAACTACTGTGTGGTTTCAAGCTATAATAAAAATAAAATAAATATAAGCCAGAGTGTGAGAAAATAAGACTTTAACTAAGCCTGGAATGATTGATCCTAGGGAGATGTAAAGTTTAGAACAAAATTCAGCAATCGCAGTGCATCCATAATAATTATCATTGTTCCCCTTAATTCCTAGAGGAACATAGGGCTTCAGACACACGACTTCATTGCATTCAGTTCTCTGCCAACCTTTTCATCACCTTGCTCCACGTCTGCCCACATGCTTACATCTCCTCTTCGCATCACCTCCTCCATGTTACCCTTGCACTGACGACCAACTAACTCACCGCTTCCCATTTGTGTTCCACTTGAGCGATGGCCTGGCGTGTGATGGATATCACTTGATGGTTTGTTTTCTCAAAGTATGGCCAATCCACCTCCATTTCTTCCTGCATATTTGTCCCACAACCCGCTCCTTCTGGGTTGGTTCGTTCATTGCCAGAGATCCATCCCTGTTGTTGATCTTTTCTGGCCATCTGATCTTGAGTAGTATTGAGCGAAAACAGTTGTTGATGAAGGTTTGTAGCTGGTTTGAAGTTCCCTTCGTGACGCGGCGCAGCGCCAAATCTCTGATCCGTATAATAAGTAGCACTGACTTCACATTGGAGTTGAAAATCCAGATCTTATTTTTCATGCTGAGTACTGTTGACCTCCACATAGGTTTACGAAAAATGAAAGCTTGCCTTCTTTTACTTTGATATCCTCGTCAGTTATGTTTGCCTGTAGTTGAAATGATGCTTCCCAGGTAGGTAAATGAGGGTGTTTCTTTCAGGTTCCTCCCATTAATGCTGATTGCTGTCTGTTGTTGCTGTTGCTGTTTCTGTTGCGGTTGGCCAGGAATCTTCATCACCTCTGTTTTCTCTATTTCCACCTGAAGTCCTATCTTTGATGCTTCTTCTGCCAAATTGTTACTTTTCACTTGCATTTCTTCTAGTTTGTGGGCTATCAGACATATATCATTAGCTGTCCAGTATTCCAGTACAGGCTTTTCCATGGTGCTCTAACTAATCTCAGCTCATAATGAAACCCTGTAGTAGCCAGTCAAATCCCTGCAAGCCAACACTTGAATATTTAAAATTTATGTCAGTGAGTAGCTTGATATGGTTATGAGTGGCAATAAATTGTCCTCAAAATACCATCAGTAACTGATAACGAAACCTCAGCACACACACAGAAGGCTAGTTTCATTTATGCCAGTTTACACCGCCTCTAGCGTAGACGTGATATCCAGCTAGTTGTCGCCCAAAGGGCATATGTACCACTCAGCAGTCCGCTCCATCCTTCTTTATGGCTGTGAGACCTGGCCATTTAAAGTGGAAGACATTAAAAGGATAACTGCCTTTGGTCATAGATGCCTGTGTTCTATCCCCCATGTGAAGTGGTATAATAGGGTTCTTCTATACCGGTCAGAAAGTTGACCAGTGTGTCACGAAAAGGATTTCCAACAGGTTGCAGACTTTCATCAACAGCTGTCCCATTCTCTAGCTCCATACTGGAGATAAAATTGCCGGTCGGAAAGAATAAGCAACAAGAAACTGTGGGAAAAAACCAACAGGCGAGAGCCAATCGCTCAACAAGTATGTAGGAGAAAGCAGAGATGGGTCTGGTATAAATTGAGGAAGCCGCCGAATGACATAGCAAGCCAGGCCATCGCTCAAGTAGAATCCAAATAGAAAGGGATGAGTGGGTCGTCAGAACGAGAGTGACATGGAAGAGATCGCGTGAGGAAGAGATGAGAGAGTTTGTGCAGTTGTGGACCCAGATGAAGAGGACTGCAGAAAGCAGAACAAAGTAGAAAGGTGTTGTTGAAGCCCTATTTCCCAATCGGAAGGCAAGGGAATAATAATAATAATAACACTGAGGTGAGGCATCACTCAAGTGCTAGGTAAGGAGGAGAAATCCATTGACGAGGTAATAAACTTTCACCGTTTCAGATGATTAGGACATGTGTTACGCATGCCTAGCCATTGCCTGCCTTCATCGAAGGGCAATGTTAGCTGACATAGGGTCAGGTCGGAAAGGAGCCATTAGTTATCAAACCAAAACATCGTTTCATCTGTAAATGAAATTCACAACAGTTAGTTTAAGCCAGACACATCGAAAGGTGTAGACTTCCTGGTTGGGATCCTCAAGACTCGAACTGTTGCACATCGGTGCAAAGTTCTGTGTTGAAAGCAGTCAGTCAGTCAGTCAATGGTAAGTTAAGAACACTATATATCTGTGTGATTTTATTTTCAATAAATAAATCTACCCTATGATGAAATTATTCTCACTGTCTTACTCTACGTTTCTACATTTTTTAAAAATTCCCTCATTTATTTTCGTTTCCAGTTTTTGAATTAAACTTTCACTTTTTGTTTTGTTTTGTTCCGTTTTTCCCGCTCATGCTCAATTTAAACAACTGCGAATAGTTTATTATTGATCCAGTTGAAATGAATAGAACAAGCAAAGATTCTGTGTTAATTACAAATTTGTTAATAGCACTAGAAAAGTGTAAAGAATCCGGTTCAATTGCATTCATTAAATCCTATTTGAAAACCTCAAATTTGGATAATAAAGATGATGTAAGTTTTAGAAAAAAAATAGTGGAAATATTTTTATTTATATAACATATATGTATATAATTCATTCCTTCTGTTATGAGTAGAACTTGGAACCTTCATTGTACATCTTTACTCTACACTGGTTTCTGTATCACTACTGTCAGGTAGGTGGCTTCACGACTACACGGAAGCTTTCATCACCTTCAAACATGATCTTCTCCATGTCACTCATGGATATACAACTCGTTGATTTCTGTTGTGTGTATATGTGTGCGTGTTGCCACTTGGATGTGTCCAGTCCATCTGCACTTCACCGGGCATATTTATTAGCCGATAGGATCTTGACAGTGTAAAATATTCCCATATCGCATGAATTAAAAGTCAATCTGAACGAAGGATATACTTTTCAATAATTTCTTCTCTTCAGGTTCTTACAATTATAAAATATAACTGTTGTCGCTACAATAAGGGCCAGTTATCCGGCGGATACATTTTTAACGTAGAATAGCATATTAGTTATGGGGTGTCAAAATCAATAGTCGCATTTGTGGGACAAACGTCGTGCTAGGCTGAAATCGATTACAAAATATTGTGCAGTGGGAGACAATGGTAGTGATTAGTCATAAGAGATTTGTAGAGTATGGGGTAGGAAAACTGACAAATCAGTTCAAGATTATAAAAGGTGTCAGGTGAGTGGCTAGTACAAAATGGTCTGTATTAAACAGGAGATAGTAAGACTGCAATGAGAGGTTCATAATGAAATAACGAATATGTTAAATGAAACAGGTGGAGGCATATATTGAGAAAAGAGATAATGTCATCACTAATAATAAGTCCGGAAAGTATAATAATAATAATAATAACAGCTTTATTCCAAACAGTATTTGTGGTACAGGTATGGAATTTTCAGCGTGCATTACAGTATATTGCATCTAATTACCTCATAAATTATATAAGATTTTTAAAAATCAAAGATAAATAAATAAAAATAAAATAAATTAGTTATAAATAAATAAATATTAAAAATTAAGAAAAAAAAAAACAACGTAGAGTATTTCATTTCAAACAATGCAACACAGGATTTGAAATATAAAGTTGATGTGTGGTACTAGATGAGAACAACAGTGTGATAGTAACGAGGAAAGGAAAACAAAAACTAATGGGACTATTTGTTAGAGTGCCGCAGTAAGTTTATCGTGTCATACCTAACGGATTTCTCATCACATAACAGCTGTGCCAGATATGGTATTGTGGAGTTTTTGTATTTGGTAGTCCTAGCATATAGCCTCCTGTAGCTGCTTCTAGTTCTTCCAGATGAAATGCAAGGAGATAGATGCGTATAGAGAGGATGCTCGGGGTCCGACAATATTGTATTCGCTAGTTTCTTACATGACATAATATGTCTATCTACAATAGTGTTCACCAGTTGGTTTAACGATATCCCACTTGCCCTACTAACAGCTTTTAGTGCCCTTCTCAGCGAAGCAAAGTCTTTCTTAAGTAGTCCAGGAAAGACTAATGGGGAGCAGTAAAGGAGGATGGGTAGAATACAAGAATTTACAAACTGAGAAAGTAAAGACTGCTTTATGCCAGACTGCCTAAATTTCCTAATGTAGAACGTTAAGCGAAACATCTTTCTAGTAACTAGCAAGATGTGGGAAGACCAGGAAAGATCGGTGGAAAAACTCAGCCCAAGGTACTTGACATAAGATGTATTTTCAACCTCTGTGCCGTCAATGAGAGTGGGGCCATGTGAGCTAACTAGTTGCTGTAGGTCACATTTACGTCTGAAAGTGAAATTGACTACCTGACATTTAGACGGATTAAGCTTAAGTCCGTTTGAAGAGGACCACTGACTAATTTCCGACAGAAAGCTATTTAATTTGGAACAATCTGACTGAGAGTTGACAGGCATAGAAACCGAGAGGTCATCGGCATACTTAACAAAAGTGGCTACATCAGAATGAGGCAAGTCATGTAAGAAAAACGAAAACAGAAAGGGAGAAAGAACAGCACCTTGAGGAACACCAGCTAAAGTAAGTGAGGTAGTGGAGGATTTTCCATTGTAGACGGTGTACTGCTTCCTTTCAGAAAAATAGGAATGCAACCACTTATTTGTCCAGCTTTCAGCCTGTGTTGCAGCAAGCTTACTTAGCAAGAGAGACCTGGGAACAGAGTCAAATGCAGATGTGTAATCAAGGAAGGCACAGCGAACATATTTAGCTCCTTTATCTAAACTAGAGACTATGCTATGGTGGAGGACGACAGCGGCATCTAACGTACTCCTACTATGTTTATAAGCAAACTGGTTGGGGTCGTTGAAAGGTTTTAAAGAGGGATCAAGATTAAGTAAAATAAGTCTTTCCATAACTTTCAAAAAGGGTGAGGTAATTGAAATGGGTCTAAACTTAACATTAGGTCCTTTTGTTGATTGTGCGTCGGTGGCACAGTGGTTAGGACTCTCGCCGACCATGCATATGGTCCGGGGTTCGAGCCCACGCCGACGCACACCTGATATCTATGGTCGGCCTGCGAAATTTGGGCTACCGATATCCACGCTGAAAATTCCATACTTGTACCAATAATACAGTGTGGAATCAAGCTGTAATCAAAAATAAAAAATAGGCACTGGAACGATCTTGATATTTTTCCATGATTCAGGTATAATACTTTTGGAAAACGACTCGTTGAAAATCTCAGTTAGCGGTGAACACAAGATGTCGGCACACTTCTTAAGGATAACAGCAGGAACACCATCAGGACCGAGGGACTGAGTAGGCTTGAGAGATTGAAGACACTTGAGGACATCATTCGTGTTAAAGCATGAGAAGCAGTCATTGTTTACACTATTTGAGTTAGGAATCATAACATTTGCTGGGATACATATGAAGGATTCATTAAGCATGTTAACATCTACAGAAATATCATTCATCATTTGCTTACCACCTGTGATTTCCCTTAATAACTTCCACATATTTGATGGGGATTTACATGAAAGAAACTTCTGGTTATAAAGAGCATTCAATCTTTGTAATTCAAGCTTAATAAATGGAAAATTCGATAGTATTGAGAGAATGTTTGCATGAAAGGCATAAATTATGACGAATAATAATAGTAGTAATAATAATATTTGTAATAATAAGCGAAGGAAAAAAACACCAAGAGGGTTAAGGGGAAGGAGCACTCTTGGTGAGGAGAAGGATCATCAATCCAAGTTTGGCCACAGTAGGAACAGCGTCTGGACGTGTTCTTTTTGGATACAAAGTTCCGGTTAATTCGATTTTATTGCAACAGCTTCAGTTATGTTTAGGAGACGTAAGCGAACCGTACGTGATAAGACTTTTGACACCCCATAACTAATCTATTATTCTACGTTAAAAATGTATCCGCCGCGCATAACTGGCCTTTATTGTAACGACAGTATATATTATATATTATAACTGTAAGAACCTGAAGGGAAATTATTGAAAAGAATATTCTTCGTTCAGATTGACTTTTAATAAGATCTTGGTCACTTTAAAGAGTTGTAGTGTTTATCTGCGAGTAATCGATAAGATGGGCTGAATTTAAGCCTTGGTCTTTATAGCTACCAACAGTTGTGAACATTAACAGTATGTAAGAAGACAACTTAAAGATCTCCATTTAGTCATATAAAAAAGAAACGACGTTCAATGAGGAGTTAATCTTTTCGGTGATATCGTTCTCAACCTGTACAATCGTATTGATGTACATGGTAAATTTCCCTTAGCAACAAAAGGAATATTTCCAACAATGTGTCATTAGAATTGTAATTTCTTCAGATAACAAATTACGTAGTGTAGGAAGCGTTAATCGGGTAGAAACTAGAATAAGCTTAAATGAGTAGGTTGAGTGACGTAATCTATTGATTGATTGGTTACAGGATTTCATCATGAACTGACATTGGTTAAAGGATCACTGGAAAACCTGAGAGTACTGGACAGCCGTCTCATCCTAGTTCCGGACTATTCAGCAGTACGCACTCACTGAGGTTTGAATCCAGAACTCTCTGGTTATAGTGCAACCTTGTAGAACATTGGGCCACTAGGACCCACTAGTGGTTTCGCCATGTAATGAATTTGCAGAAGTTGGAACTCATCGACTGGCCATTAGATTGGGTACCAATGGCTCAGTGGTCTACGAGCTCGCCTTGTAACCAGAAGGTCCTGTATCCAAACCTCAGTAGGTGCGTACTGATGAAGGGTCCGGAACTAGGATAGGACAGTTGTCCAGTACTCCCAGTTCGTGATGAATTCCTGAAACTTTGAAGTTCTTTTGTGGTTTTACTTGGTGTTCTAAGTCGACTGGGTGTTCCAGGATATTGAGCTGTGACAGGGGAATCTTTTTTCTCGTTTATTTCAAATAATCTTAGCTTGTTCATAAAATCAAACAATGAGAAATTCTGTGATTCTCATTCAGTGGACTCCAGTGTTCTGGAGTCGATTGCCGGTGGGTTAAACGTAAGCACAGGTTAACAATCTGAAAGCTAAATAAATAGATGGTGCTAAATAATTTTTATATTATGATTCAATCAGACTCTATGGTCAAGTTATCCCAGGGAGTTCATAACATCTATAGACTAGGTATTTACAATTTTAGGTAATAATTAACAATTTTCTATAGTTGGTTTGTAAGGGTTAGTTTTGTTTTCACGAGTTGATCATGGGCTGATATCAGTTAAAAAACCATTGAAAACCAGTATTGGAGTACTGGACAGCTGTTTCTGTTGTCCTAGTTTGGGAATCATCGGCAGTAACGGACTCACGACAGTGGGGTTCGGACTCAAGAACTTCCGGTTACAAAGAAAGCTGGCTCGTATACCATTCAGCCACTGGGACCCAATTCAGTGGCCAGTGCGTGAATTCTAACTTCTGCTTAGCAACCGGAAGGTCCTGGGTTCAAACCCCACTGTCATGGGTGCATACTGCCGATGATTCCCAAACTAGACTGATGAAACAGCTCTCCAGTACTCCAATACTGGTTTTCAATGGTTCTCTAACTGA